GGAGGGCATTTATTGGGCCATTCTCGTCCCACCAAATGTTTTTCATAGCAGAATGATATTCAACTGCCTTAGAATCTATCGTCGACATTGGTCTGGTTTTATTGACACATACGATATTTCCTGACAGTCTACAATAAATATAATCTATCTTCATTCAGTTGAACAAATATTTTTATATAATGTATTATGTAGGCTGCGGTCCACTTGACGCTACAAATGCTTTGGAGCGTTCTTCTTCTTCTTCTTCTTTCTTCATTGAAAGAAAAGAGAAGAGGAATGCTTCGAAGCATTTGCAGCGTCAAGTGGACCGCAGCCATAAAGATAAGGTTTTACTACTTTGTGATTTAAAGGTAGAAAACTTTAATTAGTTTAAGGTTGATAACACAATTAGATATAATTATCCTATATATAAAGTATAAATAGCTATCATGATTAATGCTGTAAAACTCTCAAAAGAAAGGGAGTTATTCATGTGAAAAATGTAATTTTATAAAATTTGTGCAAAGACATTTTAACTTATATTTTCAACGTTATGTCATAATAATGTTTTATATCTTTGAATGTTTTTTTCAATTTGCTTCTCGAGGATTATTTACATGCCAGTTCCTTTATGTTTAATTGCATGAAGTCCGTAAAAAGTAGATGCAGTTGATGATCGAGACCATTGCCTTGTTGCTGGATTAAAGTGCATGCCACGAATCAATTTTGTTTCGCAGCCATCTGTATGAAAAAAGGAAACGATTAAGAAACTATTACAGAATGTAGAATCACTTATGGATATTTGTTTTAAACTTGTTATAATTATACATATTTTTAACAAAATACTTTTTTAATTTCTTTCTAGAATTAACAACAAGAATAAATCTTTTACAATTCTCCAATATACGTTGAACTTTGTGTGGAGCAATAAATTTATTCCATTGATGATTACCGCGAGGTGCACTTCCAAAAATGTATTCAGCCGCTACAATAGTAGATAGCAAAGATGTTAGAGTTTTGTTTATCGTCGTTATAAAAATCGATTTGCCTGGTTTCACGATTTTCACACATTCCTGTACAAAGTTTTAAAACATTTGGTTTTTATATCGTATATTCATATCTAATAAATCTTATATAACTTTTATTATAATAATGTACTTTTAAAAATATT